ACTCACTCCCTACGAAACCAGACAGCTCAAAAAGATTTGTTGCATTTTGTAACTGTTATAGACGTTTCGTTAAAAATGTTGCCGATTATTCTCGTCACATAACAAGATTATGTAAAAAGGATGTAAGATTCGAATGGAAAGCAGATTGCCAGCATGCCTTTGAACATCTTAAGGCGGCATTAATGAATCCAACTTTACTGCAATACCCCGATTTTGCAAAGAATTTTCCATAATCACACATGCTAGCAAAGGGGTATGTGGAGCAGATTTAATTCAAAACTATAATGGTCTTCAATTACCTGTAGCGTATGCATCTCACAGTTTCACTATAGGTGAAAGTAATAAGTAAACGACAGAACAAGAGCGATCAGCAATTCATTGGGCAATTAATCACATCAAACCATATGTATATGGTAGACATTTCACAGTCAAAACAGAGCACAGTCCGTAAATTTATCTATTTTCAATGGTTAATCCCACATCAAAATTAAGCTTATTTGATTAAGAAGAGAACGAGCTTACAGTAGAGTATCTAAAGGGCAAAGATAATAAGATGTAGCAGATGCGATATCAACCATCAAAAAATTAAATGAAATTACAGGAAATATTATGGAAGCCACTACCAGATATCAAAGTAGACAAAAATCCTGCGCAGGAGATGATAATGAAATAGAATTGCCTAGGCATTCTATAGAAAAAGCTTTAAAGCCCAACGTATATGAAGTAATCAATAATGACGAAGTACGAATAGTAGTGACCTTGCATATTAAAAATATGCTATGATTTTTGAAAAATGGGAAGAAAATTACTGCAAGATATGATGTTAGCGATTTATATACTAACGGAATTCTTGACTTAGGTCGGTTCTTAAAAAAGGCTTGGAACGCAAGCCGGTATAAATAAAATCAGCCAACTCAATGTGGCACCGCCGGAAAATATATGTAAGCAAGTTTCTATTGATAATTTAAAAAAAATGCGCATTATAATATTAAAAACATTTACAGTACCACTAGAAAAAGAAAAATAACCTATACTGTCTACATTTCATAATGATTTAATACAAGGAGGTCGCACAGGCATTACAAAAACCATGTCCAAGGTCAAAAGGCATTATTTTTAGAAGGGTATGACTCGATATATTACTGAGTATATTAAAAAAGTCAAAACTCAAAAGTGATAACACATTCAAAAACTCCCTTAACAATTACGGAAACCCAATGAATGCTTTTGAAAGAGTAATAAGTAGTAGACACGATCGGTCCACTACCAAAATCAGAGCAAGGCAACGAATATGCAGTTATACTGATATGTGACTTAACAAAATATCTAGTTGCCAAACAAAAGTGCAAAAGTCGTAGCTCAAGCTATATTCTGAAATACAGAAGACGTTCATTACGGACATGGGTACAGAATATAAAAATTAATTTATAGAAGATTAACATGTATGTAAGTAAGTACCTTGGTATTAAAAACATAATTTCTACGGCACACCACCACCAGACCTTAGGAAGAGTAGAGTTCCATAGAACATTCAACGAATTCATTCGTTCTTATAGGTATATCAGCTGATAAAACTGATTGGGATGTTTGTTTACAATACTTCGTATATTGTTTTAATACAACATTATCCACACCGCATGACTAGTGTCAATTTAAATTAATTTTTAGTAAGAAAGCTAATATTAACAAGGCATTTAATAGTGTAAATGAGCCCATTAAGCCTCTTTAAAATATAGATGATTACGCTAAGGAATCAAAATATAGGTTAGAGTAAGCTTATAAAAGAACTAGAAAAATGCTTAAACAGAACAAGCTGGAAAAAAGACTCATATATGATAAGAGAGTAAATGACATACAACTTAAGGTAGGAGATCAAGTTTTATTAAGAAACGAAACAGGTCATAAGCTAGATTTTAAATACATAGGACCATATAAAGTGGAAAAAATAGAAGAAAACGACAATATATATTTTATTGATAAGCCTCAATTGCCGAGTCGATCTAGCCATGTCCGTCTGCTTGTCCGTCTGTCCGCCCGTCCCGGAAGGATCTCAGAACCTAAAAGAGCTAGAGACTTGAAATTTTAGATGTAGGTCCTCCTACTGCCAGCGCAGATCAGGTTTGTTTCCGATAATTGATAACTCACTCCCTTTCCAAGCAATCGATAAAAATCCATATCGACAGCCTGATTTTTGACCAAACTGGGTAAATATTAAGAGCTTGAGTTACCAAACTTGATATGTTGATTTTAGTTCCTTTTTTTATCATAAATACTTAATTATTGGTGTGGCTGATAAGTAGAGGCATATCAAGTGGTGCTGTCTGTCGCGAGCTCGAGCCCTAGCGGGGTAAGTAATATTTTTATACCCTGAACCCATTAAAAATGGGTATTAGGGTATATTGTACTTGTGCAAAATCCAAATGTATGTAACAGGCAGAAGGAACCATCTCCGACCCCATAAAGTATATATATTCTTGATCAGCATCAATAGCCGAGTCGATCTAGCCATGTCCGTCTGTCTGTCCGTCCGACCGTCCGTTTGTATAAACGCAAGGATCTCAGAACCTATAAGAGCTAGAGACTTGAAATTTTAGATGTAGGTCCTCCTAGTGCCAGCGCAAATCAGGTTTGTTTCCGATTATCGATAACCTACTGCGTTTCCAAGCAATCGATAAAAATCGATATCGATATCCTGTTTCTTGGGAAAGTTTGGTAAATAATAAGAGCTAGAGTCACCAAACTTGACATATAGCTTCTAAAATAGAATATATATGCATTAGATGTTGGAAGAAGAGGATTCAGGGTATTCCCTAATCGGGAGCTCCCGAATAGAACCTCTAACTTGTTTTTTGCTGGTGTGGCTGTTGAGTAGAGTCGACAGCAAGTAATGCGGTCAGTTGCGAGTTCGAACCCTGCCTAGGGAACTTTTATTTTTATTTATTTGTTGTTGGAATAAGAGGGTTCAGGACATCCCCTAGTCGGGAGCTCCCGAATAGAACCTCTTACTTCCTTTCATTGTGATGTAGCAAAGACAATATAAACACTAAGATGAGTAACGCCATACAACAAAATGCTACTATGCAGCTTGATTTTTTGAAAATTGAGAACGAAAACGAAATCTGTAGCATTGCGCTCTTACAGCCAAGAGAACGAAAAAGCTAAAAATAGAATTTGCTCTCAGCTTCGGCTCTACGATGGCCGCGCAAGCAATTATGTTTGTATGCGTGTGAATATACATACATAACAGCATATTTGAATGTGTTGCTACTGCTCTGGCAAAGTCTCTGGCTGGCAAAGAAACAATTTTCTTAGTTTTTTAGCGCAGATCACGACCTACCCAAAATTTCTGTTCATATATGAATGCATTTTGTGTACTGAGGTTGGCTCCGTACAAAAAATTTGTATTTTTAAGTCGATGCAAATATTTATGTCATTTTTTATATTGGAAATTATTAAATTATTATTATTTTTAAGTTATAAAAAATAAATTAAGGAAATAAAAGTGCAAATTTCTTGTTTTCAAAGGTACATTTAATTAATTTTTATTTATTTTATTTTACTATTTTTTGTTCGAATTATAAAGAACAAAGTACGCAGGGAACACCGCGAGGAGACCATTATAATTATAATGGGGTCATAACTAAATATGACCTTCGGGTATTTTTTGCGGAGCCAACCTCAGTACACAAAATGCATTCATATATCAACACAAATTTGGGATAGGTCATGATCTGCGCTAGAAAACTAACAAAATTAATTTCTTGCCAGCTGAAGCCAGAGCAGTGAATAACAACACATACATACATACTTTAAAGTTCTTATGCATGTATAATTCACGCATGCAACGAAAGGTGCACGCACGCTATTGGCTGAGACAAGAACTTTTCTCGAGCATACACTGTCCAAAAAGAAAAGTGAAATCAATCTATGTGTGCTATTTTCTTAACATAGTTATAGCGCAAGAAGCGCCTTGTGTACAAATTTTATAAGTTCTTAAATTTTCCTGTAAAATTATCTGCTAATATCAAGGGTAATATAGCATTTAAATAAAGCATGCATTTCATGGATAAAGCACAAGCACTTTGCGACGATCGTAAGTTCTAAACTTTTTCGCTCAATGTACTTCGAAAACGAAGCGACGCAAAGCACCATCGACCAGCTTTGCTGAAGGCAGGCTGGTGTCAGCATCAGCAAGCCGCGACTTCGGCATTCGTTCGTCTGGTCTTTGGAGAACGAACAACCAGTCGGCAGGCATGCCGTACGAAGCCTCAAAGGCCAGATGAAAGGCCAGGCTAGAAATTTTACGTCAAATTCAAATATATGGGCGTTACTCATCTTAGTGTTTCTATTACCTTTGGATGTAGTGTAGCCATACATAAGTAATAATTAGCATTGGTATATCCGTACAGCTTCAACACAAAAAAAATTGTTTAAAGAAGGAACAAAAAAAATAATATGTGATTGTGTCATTGAATCACTTATTAGTATTGATGTATTTGACATACCGACGACATCGATATTGCCCGAAATTGGTAGCTTTCTTTATTATCGCCCACGCCGATATCTTTTGTCCTAGGTGCAGAGTATCGGTGTTAAGCCGGGCACACAACGGCGTTTAAATTATAGCGGCGTGGCAACGCCGGGCTTGCGATCCACGGCGCCAAAAGGGGCGATTGCTATTGGCTGCCCGATTCGCTCCCAAAGAGATAAAAGAGAGAATTGATCGCATCCCCTTGAAGATGTCCTTGGCCGTGATTCGAGCCGTTGACCCAAAAAAAAAAAATGCAGCTGTGCAGATGGGCAGCAACGGTAACCATATTTAACTGGATGCGTGTACCGAATTTCGGCACCTTTGATGTTGCTACCCAATGTAGAACAAGGAGAGTTCGACTTTGTCAGCGGTCAACAGCGGGCGTGCCGGTTCGAAGAAAAATTTGAAGTTGGATATTTTTTCTATGCCGGCCACAGAGCGTGCGCCCGCAAAGATCAAAAGATATACATTTATTCGCGACGGGCTTTCTTTATTATTTTATTGCAAAGAAAATTCATTTACTACTAACGTAGTGCAAAAAGAAACAGTACACAAGAACAATAATACAAAAAACAATAACACACCGTCGTGCGGCGTTTAAAACAATAAGAAAGGGGGTACTCCATTAGAACAGCCGCAGCCATTCGGTGGCACACAACGCCTGAATCCAGCGCCGGAGGACGCTGGCCAGATCAAGCCAGATATTCGCGGGCCAGATTTTCCAAACACGGCCAAGCATCGGCGTAACCATCACGACGGACGGGACTCCAACGACGAAGAGGCGGCCATAGGCGAGACCACGCCCATTTCATCACTGAGTGAGTCTGTTCCACGTCGGCCTTCCCTCGCCTAAGTGAAAGGCAGAGGCTAAAGCAGATCCATATTTGAGGCTCCTTGAAAGAGAACAGATATTTTTTTTTTTGAATTTTTAGCTCTAGTTTTTTTTGTAAATTAAATACATAATATACTCACCACTAGTCGCAATTAAGTAAATTTCCGAATGTGCGAACAGAAAGGAAGTGGCCCAAAGATTATTGCGTCTGCTAAGTTAATATAGAAATTAAAAATTAAGATTTTGGTCAACTTACACATGAGTGATACCAAAGACAATATAAACACTAAGATGAGTAACGCCATACAACAAAATGCTACTATGCAGCTTGATTTTTTGAAAATTGAGAACGAAAACGAAATCTGTAGCATTGCGCTCTCACAGCCGAGAGAACGAAAAGCTAAAAATAGAATTTGGTCTCAGCTTCGGCTCTGTGACGGCCGTGCAAGCAATTATGCTTGTATGCGTGTGAATATACATACATAACAGCATATTTGAATGTGTTGTTATCCACTGCTCTGACAAAGTCTCTGGCTGGCAAAGAAACAATTTTCTTAGTTTTTTAGCGCAGATCACGACCTACCCAAAATTTCTGTTGATATATAAATGCATTTTGTGTACTCCGTACAAACAAAATTGTATTTTTAAGTCGATGCAAATATTTATGTAATTTTTTATATTTGAAATTATTAATTAAATTATTATTTTTTCAAAGATACATTTAATAATTTTTTTTTTTTATTTTTGTTGTTCGAATTATAAAGAACAAAGTACGCAGGGAACACCGCGAGGAGACCATTATAATTATAATGGGGTCATAACTAAATATGACCTTCGGGTATTTTTTGCGGAGCCAACCTCAGTACACAAAATGCATTCATATATCAACACAAATTTGGGATAGGTCATGATCTGCGCTAGAAAACTAACAAAATTAATTTCTTGCCAGCTAAAGCCAGAGCAGTGAATATCAACACATACATACATACATACTTTAAAGTTCTTATGCATGTATAATTCACGCATACAACGAAAGGTGCACGCTCGCTATTGGCTGAGACAAGAACTTTTCTCGAGCATACACTGTCCAAAAAGAAAAGTGAAATCAAGCTATGTGTGCTATTTTCTTAATATAGTTATTGCGCAAGAAGGGCCTTGTGTAAAAATGATATAATTTCTTAAATTGTCCTGTAAAATTATTTGTTAATATCTAGGGTAATATATCATTTAACTAAAGCATGCATTTCATGAATAAAGCACAAGCACTTTGCGTCGATCGTAAGTTCTAAACTTTTTCGCTCAATGTACTTCGAAAACGAAGCGACGCAAAGCAGCATCGACCAGCTTTGCTGAAGGCAGGCTGGTGTCAGCATCAGCAAGCCGCGACTTCGGCATTCGTTCGTCTGGTCTTTAGAGAACGAACAACCAGTCGGCAGGCATGCCGTACGAAGCCTCAAAGACCAAATGAAAGGCCACGCTAGAAATTTTGCGTCGCATTCAAATGTATGGGCGTTACTCATCTTAGTGTTTATATTGTCTTTGGTGATACCCACCTTCGTATTATATAAATATATATATATTATGCACCTCAGGTGCAGGTGCAGAAGACTCCTCACTCCCTTACCGGCCCCACCCAGAAAGCTCTTTAGGCAGACAAGGCAACACAAGCGCTTTCGACGAACATAACGCCTTTCGTTGGAAACACATGTGTATACATGCATTTATTTAAGCGGGTACTTGCTCCCCATTGGTGCAATAATTACATCTAGCAATAAGTTTTGACCGTGTTTTCGTCTCATGTTCCGTATAAATGTATATGTAAAACAATGCATTTTGTACTAAATTTAAAATTTTAAAGATAAATATAATTTGTCATGAATATGAAATGATGCAACACGTTATAGGCACCTGTTGAAGGGAAGTTGAGAGAAGTATCCGTTTGCTTTAAGTGATGCGATACTCTGTAAAAAAAAAAAAAATGTAAATCTAAAATTGATATCCATTTCTCTAAATATAAGAATATACCAACTTATCGTACGCACCGTTTAAAATTCCCGAAATGTTCGCGTGTACTTATTTATAAATATCAGCTTGGAGATATCCTGCAGGGGAATAAGAAATAAGATTAAATAATAGCGATATGAAATGCAACTAATTATATACCCTTCCTGAATAGACAAATGTCAGGCTAAATTTGCATTGATGGGGAGAGTTGGATAACAGCCGGCACAGGCTGATGCAGGCCATCTAATGGCCAAATGTGGGAGTAGGTAATCGCCTCATGGTAGGGCGGGTACGCTGGGTCCGGAACCGAACCCGATCTGGAAGAGTAAAGTGGATTAAAAGTGTTTTCTTTCTTTGTAAATTTAGATTAACATCTCACCTTTGTTGTTTACATTTATATATCGTCACAGCTGTTTATGTTGTTCACCTGTTAGAAGTTCTGATTGTTTGGTGTTGTCGATTTGTGGTTCGCTTTGCAGTGTTGTGTAAGTCTGTTCTACATTAGGATTTCTGATTTTGGACCTCTACACACAGACACACAGATACAAATGTCTGTGAATGGGCTGATCATGGGCGCAAAAGAAAATGTCATTATTGACACGCGTCTGACGCGCGCCCTTCTTTTTAATGATTTTGAAGAATGAATGTTGACCCCTTATTACCTGCAGCAGTTCGTAGGGTCGAATGGGTCAACTTTTGGCAAGCACCTGCATATGGAGGTCAAGTGACTGATCCCCAAAATTATTAAAACTATAAATATATAATCGCTCTTTTTTTTTTATTTGGTATATTTTAATATTTTAAAGATTTTTATTTTTACTCAAATTTCATTCAAAATCATTAAAAAGAAGGGCGCGCGTCAGACGCGTGCCAATAATGATATTTTCTTTTGCGCCCATGATCAGCCCATTCACAGACATTTGTATGTGTGTGTCTGTGTGTAGAGGTCCAAAATCAGAAATCCTAAAATCTTCTTAAATTTGCATCGGGGACAGGCAGGCAGGCAAGCAACAGGCACACAAGCGCATAAATGCTTATATTCATATACAAAATATGCAAGTATGCGTGTATAGCGAGTCCAAAATATTCTAAATGCACACATGGCAACGCTTGGGTACCCTTACCAACGATAGCGAGCTAAAATGCAAGAATTTCGCATCGACGTGGCAAACCCTTTCTCTATTTCATATTAGCCGTGCCTTCAAAAGGGTAGAAATGCCTCAGCATTTGGGAAAAAATGAATTTGTGCGCAGTTTTGCTGGTCGGACAAATACACACACACACACATTGAAACGATCCCTAAACATAGAGAGAGCATTGAGAGCCGAGAGTAAGTGCGAGCGAGATAAAAGTTAACAGCGTTGCCGTTCTATCGCACAAATCATATGGAAGAGATTGCGCCAAGCACTTTCCTGTAGAGTAAGCGGTTCAAAAATACATCATATGTATATTTTACTCCCTTACTCGCGAGTTTGGACCAGATGCCACCGATACATTTTGTGTCTAATTCTGGTACTCATGTCTAGTCTATATGTTGGTTGGTTAGTGACTGTACGGAATGTGGGCCAGGAATGGGACTACACCCAGAGAAACCGATGAGCCAGCCGGCGCGGCCCATCGAGAAACAAGCAGTTCCGTAACAGTATATAAAATATTCCATATAAAAAGAAAATAAATTTAATGTTACCTTTCATTAAATTCAAAAATATATTCGCTCAAACTAATGTAAAATATAAAAATAAAGCAATTTCTTTTTAAAGAAAAACAAATTATTATAATGAATTTAAAAATTTTATATTTCTTAATCATTATTATTTTAAATTTATACATTTTTACAATTTCCTAAAGTTCAATCAATTTTTAAATTCATATTATTTTTAATCATTTTTATTGCATATAACAAAAATATACAAAACCAAAAAAGGTTATAGTTAACATTACGTTATTTTGTTAAAAAGGGAGATATAGTGTATTCATACATAACTCAGCTTGTAACACTTTGTTGCAAGTATAAACAAATAGAAAATATCAACCCAAGCGCATAGCATAAATATAATCGTATATAGGTATACACATACACATGCACATGCATATATGCGCTGCTGCGCACATGAGTAACATCACTAACCAAACAACATATGGGCTGGACATGGGTACAGGAAAGTAGGCACAAAAAGTATCGGAGGCATCTGGTTCAAACTCGCGAGTAAGGGAGATATACATATAGATATACAGATATACATATGACGTATTTTTGAGCCGCTTACTCTACAGGAAAGTGCTTGGCGCACTCTCTTCCATATGATATGCATGATAGAACGGCAACGCTGTTAATTTTTATCTCGCTCGCACTTACTCTCGGCTCTCAATTCTCTCTCTTTATGTTTAGGGATCGTTTAAGTGTGTGTGTGTGTATGTGTCCGACAAGCAAAACTGCGCACAAATTCAATTTTTCCCAAATGCTGAGGCATTTCTACCTTTTTGAAGGCACGGCTAATATGAAATAGAGAAAGGGTTTGCCACGTCGATGCGAAATTCTAGCATTTTTGCTCGTTATCGTTGGAAAGAGTACCTAAGCGTTGCCATGTGCATTTAGAATATTTTGGACTCGCTATTCACGCATACTTGCATATTTTGAATATGAATAGAAGCATTTATGCGCTTGTGTGCCTGTTGCTTGTCTGCCTGCCTGTCCCCGTTGCAAATTTAACAAGATTGGCACGCGTCTCACACGCGCCCTTCTTTTGGACGTCCTTCTTACCAATCTCTTCGATATCCTGGGTATTTGCCTTACTCTTCTTGGGCGGTGTGCTCCGTGGCTTGTTCGTAGGGCTGGCCCTAAGCCTTTTCGGGGTCCCTTTCTCTTCAATTTCCCTGCATGTTGCAGTGAGCTGAAGGGGTAGCCGGGGGCGTGCTCGCCAGGCATGATAGGCTAGCGACCGGGTCGGCGTGGCGTACTCCTTCATCCGCTTATCCACTTAGTGAAGCGGTGTTTTTTTTGTTTTGAGTCATCATTGTGAATATCAACTGCGCCTGCACGGCCAAGTGAATGGCGACATACGACAAGCGTACTACGAGGCCTGCCAAGGCTTTAGCGAGACGGGGGCAAGGCGAACATTAGCCGAGGAGCCATTTCGATAATGTGTCCGCTTGCTTGTTAAGGTCCTAGAATGCCCGACTCGTCAGCCCATGTCTACAGTTACTTAAGTGGGGCCCAGTGGGTCTTTTCCAGACTTTACTGGGCTCAGTGTGGGGGTGGAGTTGTGCTTGCTTGCAGTTGACGGGCGTGCTGCCAACTGTGGCGCTAATCGCTGCTGATTTGTAGCTCCAACGGTGGCCAATGGTTTCTCTTCGTTTAACAGATGGGAGTTTGACCGCCCCAACTCGGTCGCCAGCGCTGCTTTTTAGTACACCGCTATGCGGCAGGGGTTGGCTTGGTCGGATCTGTGACCTTCTGTACCATTTCTTGCCGCGAAACTGCAGTCGCATTGCGAATAATACGGGTAAGACTAAAGGAATGCAATATCTTTGATGTCTTCCTGTATAACCGCACAGGGTGGAATACTTTTGCGCGTGTTTGTTTTTTATGTTGACGCATGTACTTCACCTCAGGTTGACAGCTGTGTACAACCAACCAGCTTAGGATTGGATCATTATCACCCCGTCCAGGTGAGTGCGCGAACTCGCTCCAAGCTCAAATTCAATTGAAACAAAAACAAAAATGCTGTTAGTGCAGACGAGGTTAATGCAAATCACTTTGACCTCCCCACGTTAGCTGCCGTGAAATATAAGTTACTAACATTGTTTCTGTCGACGAAGTTTCGACACTGCAAAAGCATTGTAGCGGTCATCACCACCAAAGACGAACAGGTAGAGAATGTCAGCATTGAGTACAATCAAGCGTACAGGGCAGCACTTTAAAACATTTCAGGCGAGACTATTATTTCCTGAAAACGACCTCAATAGCCTACGTAATAGTGCTAAACTGTAGAGTGTCCACGAAGGGAAAATACGACTGGCTCCCAAAATAACAAGAACTTGGTGAAACACCTATGCCATCTCACACCGATGATCGACTCCATATCAATATATTTTCCACCGACAAAAAACTGTTCCTAACTTGCATTAACAAGTTCTCAAAATTTACCATAGGGCAACCGGTAGTATCCATGAAGATATCCGATATAATCATCCCTACCCTACAAATAGTGAACATTTTCCCAAACAGGAAAACAATCTACAGCGATAACGAGGCGTCATTCAATTCTGAGATACTAAAGAGTCAATTCAACATTGATTTGGTCAAAGCGCCCCCGCTCCATAGCTGCTTCAATGGGCAAGTGGAACGGTTTAACAGCACATTAATAGAGATTGCTAAATGCCTCAAGATCGATTAGTAGATATCCGATACAATGCAAGCAAATCTCAGAACTACTATTGAAGATAATAGAACCCTGCATTCAGTAACGAGACAGACATTTGGATATTATCCATGCAGCCTCAGACGAATTACGCCCAACTAACAGGGTCAAGATAGTAAAGGCACAACAAGACCAGATAGGCAGGTGCAACTCGGACAGACATTTTGATGTAGGCGAAACAATAAAGAGCAACAAGAGACTAGGTAACAAGCTATCTCCTTTATGTTCTGAAGAAAAGGTACAAGCTGGCTAAGGAACAACAGTTCTTATTAAGGGTAGGGTGGTCCATAAAGACAACCCTAGATAGTTACAAGTCCGCCAAACTAATGAAGCTAATTATCACAGGTTCATCGGGATAATTTGTACCCTGCTAACTGCGACGTAAGCTTGGATTACCAACTTTTCCAACGCAAACTACATTTCCATTCTCGACGGAAACATTTTTGTATGGAAACACTTTAGTCACGTAGGACACGCGAGTATCCGAAGTAGTTTCTTTAACATAGTAGATGACACCTAAAAAATATCCGAACTTTTCCATCAATCGCATATGAGAAAATGGTAAGAAATATATGTAGAACATATTGAAACACTTATGTCCGCTCTAACAATTCACTACAGAATGGCTATGAGCTTCGTTCTTTTAGCATAGCATAAAAAATTGTGGCTGGGACACCAGATGCTGCAGACTCTAAGAGAATAAAAACGACAGCAAGTCAGTTAATAGACTTAAACAATAGACTAGTGCTCATTAATATAGAAACGAAGAACAGATTAATAAACTCACAGACACAGTGAACAAAATAATCCAATCAACTCTTGCACACCCCATATTTATTTGAAGTACTTATGACTTGAAATAGGATGTTCATTACAGAAATTCACAATTTAATACTTATAATCACGCTTGCAAAATCAAATATTCTAAGCCCCACCATTTTCCATACAAACGCTTTAATTCCAAAACCAAATTTAGCTCGCGATACGTGCACTTTTGCTTTAGTAGTAACAAAGATAAATTTAAAAAAAAAATAGTGTCCTTGGCAGGGTTCTAACTCGCAACTAACCGCACTACTTGCCGCTGTCTCTACTCCCCGGTAGGCTCGAACAAGCGACAGA